TAGTGCTTCAGAAATGGGGACACACATTCCAATGTGGATTCTGTGTGGACAGAAACATTGGTTCTGTCCCGTGACATCTTTGCCGGATCCCTTCCTGCTGTGGGCTGAGGGAGAGGGGCAGCGCTGAAGCTTCGTGCTTGAAGCTGGGCTCAGATGCCAGGGCTGGGCACGTCACCCCTTTCCTGCTGCCAAAAAATCGCCGTAGGACAGCAAGTGGGGGGGGGGGGGGGCTGGCAGGATGCAGCAGTGCCGTGGGACCCTGTCCTCCTGGGGGATAGTGGCCGTGTCCCAGTGTATGGCTGCAGCCTGGTTCAGTGCTTCTGGCTTCTTATGGCCGCCTTATGGTCCCTTTGCCAGCATTCCCCCCCTCCCCCAGGCAGTGCTCCCAGCGCCATGACCAGGCTGGTGTTGGCCACAACTGGTTTCTCAGCTGTAGGTGCCTGTCGCTGTGGTCAGTGTGGGGCCGCGCTGGCTCCTGGGCACAGGCGCCTGCTGCTTCCCAGGTGGGGCTGCCCCAGCTCAGTGCCAAAATCCAAGCAGCTCCCAACATGGCCTCGGCTCTTTTTGCTGCTGCCCAGCCAGCAGCCATGGCACGTCCCGGCTGCCCACAGCGTTGACCTTTGGCCCCTTCCCCTCGCCCACTGTCCTGGCAGGACCCTGTCCCAGGAGGGGACCCCCACCCCCTCACACCAGGGCAGGGGGAGGCAGCAGGATGCAGCTGCAGGAGTGGCTGCAATGCTCATTGCTGTTCCTGTAACAAGATAAGCCCATGGCCAAGGACAGCAGCGGTCCAGAGGAGAGCGTTTGTTGGCCTTGTACAAAAGAAAGAGGGAAGGGCAGGTTTGCGTGGGACTATCCAAGTGCCTTGCGGCTCCTCGGGCTCCACAGCAGAGCCAAGGAGCCGGGACCTCCACCGCTGTCTCCCACGGGACACCCTGGCGACCAGGGTCTCTGGTGGCTGCTTGTGCCAGCGGCTGCGCTGCGACCTGCGGCACCATCACCCTGAACACCGTCAGTGCCACCCAGTCCAGCCCAGGCCCTCACAGGGGACAGGGACTGACTGCAGGGGTGTCAGAGAACAGGCTGAAGCAGTGACTATAGAAAATAAAGACTTTATTATTTTTTTTTTCCAGTTCACAGGACAGTTCCCATTACACAGACCATGAATGGGCAAAGGCTGCGCAGCCAGCAGAGCCCAGGGCTCGCCCCCTCGGTAGCACAGCAAGGGCTGCTGGGGGCTCCGGGGTCCTGCTGCTTTCCATGAGCCCCTGCACGGACATCTCCCCCAGGGCTCTTGGCAGCAGCAAGTATTACTGAATCAGGTGGGTTTTTTAAAGCCTCTGCAGCTGCAGTGAAGCTGGAGCAGAGGCCAGCGGCAGCCCGGGGGGCCCGGCCTCCGCACCCCCGGGCATCGGCCTCAGCACCCCGGGCCAGCAGGCTGGCCGGCATTCAGGTTTGTCACCAGTTCAGCTACAGCCAGGTCAGGGGTAACGGGAGAGCACAGAGACAGAAGAAAAATCAATGCTTGGATAGAGATGCTGTTCCTGCCACACAAGAGACAGGAAAAGTCTTAAATTCAGCCAGCAGAGGAAAAAAAATAAAATAGCCAGGTCAACCTTTATTAAACATAAACACAGAAATGTACCATCAACCTGCTATTATAAAAGTACTTTACATACATTCAAGGGAACATTGTATAAATATCAGTATGAAATGTCACTGGCTGCAAGAGTTCCACACTCAGCTAAAATTCTGCCGACATCTTAAATTTTCCTTAAAACATTTTAAAGTAAACAAACACAAAGCAAAGCCAGCCAGCTGCTGGGCTGCTTGGTACCTTGGGTCCAGCACTCGCTGCGAGTGCCTGGGCAAACACGTCCCACCTCCCAGCACGGGCCAGCACGGCTCTCCTGCAAGCTGCTTTGGACGTTAGTGAAGCAAAGGGGCTGCTCAGCCAGGCCGGATGGTGGGAGGTTAAGGCACAGGTTTTAATCCCAAAGTTCAGCCAGCCAGAGTACCAGACATGCTCCGAAGAGGCTGTTTCACAGGCTGGGACATCTCCCAAGCCCGCTTGCAGGAGACCTCTGGATGCGCTGGGGACCTGCAGACAGATGTTCAGGATCCAGCACAGACTTCTGTGACTGCAAATAAGACCTGATCTTCTGGTAAGATTTCAGACCCTGGGAGCAACGGGGCTGCTTCTCGGCATGGCTCATCTCCTACCAGATCCGCTCCAGCTGACGCAGTAATGACACTTCACAGGGACCCCAGGTGAACTGGACTCGTTATGGACCCAGCAGTAATGGAGCTGTAGCCCTGTAGCATCTCTCCCTGCTCGGCACAGGGCCTGCTGTGAAACACTAGCACACACTGACATTGGCTGCCCTGGCTACGTGGGAACACCTGGTAGCACACCTGAGCTCTCCACCTGGTGTACACAGCAGATGGGAGAACATCCCCTGTGGGCTCCTGCTTCTCTTCAACCCTGCTGCTGAGCACTGCACAGCAGGTCCCAGCGTGCCCCAGATGCAGCCAAGAGACACCGAGCTGTTCAGCAACACCTGCAGCAGAAATTGGCTCCTCTGATTTTTCTAACAGGACAAGAGGTCATGTTGCTCACAGGCGGCAGCTTCTACACAGACGGCACGCTCCTGAAGCAGAGAGTTCTTGGGGAAATACGCAGACCCAGAGCATCCACCTGAGATCACAGCACAAGGCCAATACCTAGGAAGGAGCTGGATGGAAAGCAGACCACTCCTGACTCCTGTGACCACCTTAGAGAATCTCCTCTGATTTTTTTTTTTTTATAAAAAGCAAAACTGGAGCTAGGAACATGTGAAACTGAGACCTCTGTGTCCAGTCCCTTAGCTCTCGAGATCCAAACCCCTCCACAGTGGGGACTGGAGCTGGCTCAGGAGCAGACGCTCCTGGGGCACAGCAGAGCATGTGCTGAGCTGGCCCAGCAACTCCCAGCACTGAAGGAAATTATTCCTCAGTAATTAATGCCATGAAAGGAATGCAGCAAACACATCACCAGCTTCTGTGGGCGCAGCCTGAGCAGGTCAGCGTCCTCCCTGAAGTGACACGCTTTCAGGCCAGTCCCCTGTGGGTCCCAGAAGGGTCACGCTGGGCTGGAGATTGGGAGGGGTTTGGGTGCAGCTGCGGTGTTTGGCTCAGCAGGAGCAGCAGAGGTGTGTGGTGGGGCGCAGCAATCTGTCCTCTGTGCAGGAACCTCGGCACCTGCTGATTTGGTGCCATCGGGGTACGGGGAGGAGGCAGATACCACTGAACACAGCCCGGCCTGGCACCAAACCAGCACCCTGTGCCAGCCCCCAGTCTCCAGCTGGCAGTTTTGGCTAGCGGTACTGCAGGTCACCGACTCCAGCCTTCTTTTCTGAGATGGTAGCAGAAAAATCAGTGTAACCATCACTCCCAAGGCCAGTGTGCTCCAGGCTGCCAAGTCACAGTGTCTTAGAAAATTAAGTCCCTCTTAATAAGGGTTTTGTTTCTAACTATGTAGTTAGGCTAATGCAAAGAAGAATACAAGACAATTGAATCTGATTCTACTAAAAGGAACTTACTCTCACAAATGGAGTCAGGAAAGCAGAGGTGAAGGTTAATAGCCATACCCTTCTTTGTAACATTCATGAGCGTTTAATTCCCTCAAATTATTCCTAGTCCAGACAAGGACTCTGTTCACATCTGAGCAGTCTGCAATAGCGTTGTGCTGTATCTGATGTTCATAGGCAGTTTTGGTTTCCTTTGCAGGGAAAATCTGTGGGATCTACGGTGGGTCACGGATAGCTGGAATACCAATGATCTCCTGCTTGTTAACAGGGCTTGTGCACACACTGACTAGAAGCCACCGGCATCAACTCAGAACACCTGCACTTTCCTCTACAGGGAACCATGTATCCCAGAAACATTCCCTTATCTTTCTATTTTCCAGTAATCCCACGCTGAGAAAATAACATAAGGACATTGTAATAAATTAACTGCTTTGAACACCCAGGGAAGGAGAGAGGACACATTTCACAGCAATAGAGGTACTTTTGACATTTTCATTAATATTTCCTATGAAAAAAAGAACATAGCTCTTTTCGGCTTTGCGAAACAAGGGAGGTTCAGCTCTGCCATCAGTATTTTTCTATAAAAATAAGGTTTTGTGTTTACTGGGGTTCTACAACTAAGCTGAATAGAAAGGAGAAGGCTCTTATAAATACTTCTGCTGTTGCATCACCCCCTCCCTCTGGAGACTACCTGCTAGAGGAATTCAGCTGGCTTCTGTAAGTCTCTTCTTCAGACAAGCTCTAGCTCTGCTGAGGCTAGTGCTTCCTTA